ACTACTTACTACATAGACGTACTCTGTCGTTACGTCTCTCCTCTCTACTTCCTACCCGTACCTACCTACTATATATTTCTACTATATTATATATATATTATTATATATATATATATATATATATATATATATATATATCAAGAGCTAATAATACCTATACTACTATTACCATTATTATACCCTACTATACCATATATTACTATTACCATATTATATTACCGCAGAGGTCACTGACAACGAGTAGACAATGCGGTGCATTTTACCGCCATTGCCGGATTATATAAGCGAAAGTATATTATTTTCGTTCCTTATATACATTTTAAAACCCGACACGCGGCGCACCGACATTTCTTCCAGAAAAGGATAAGAAACACGCCCCCTTGTGTTTCATGCGTACGATGTCGATTTGCTGACGGTAGTACCTGGCTGGGGTGGCTGGATCGGCCCGGCCGGCAATCACCCAGGCGGCGCGGTGATAGACGTAACGGTAGCGGTTGCCATCCGCGCGCACAATGTCCATGTAGATGTCATACAGCTGGTCCGAGTGCAAGCCAACGAACTGAACACGCAGCGTCGGAAACAGGCGCCTGCATGCGAAAAAGATGAAGGACACTTATTCTGCGACGTATGATATACGAGCAGCAAATTCGTTCCGATTTAAAATGGAGATCTAGTCACGCACGCTCAGTTAATCCTCATCTTCCGCGAAACGGACATGAAGCCTTAGTAATGGACTAGATTTCACTAGATTAGACGCCATTCGGATAGTTTTCCTCGCCAGTCTCAAGCTGGGTTTACACTACCGGCTTTATGTAGGCGAATTGGCGAGTCGGACCAATTTCGCAATTCGGCAACTTCGAGTTGGCGAAAATAGAACATGTTCTAATCTCCCAACTATAGTTGCTATCGATCGGTTGGTCGTGCAACTTTTGCGTTTACACTGCCGATTGTCGGTTGTATAGTTGGGAAGTTGGTCCAATTCGCCAATTCGCCAACATAAAGTCGGTAGTGTAAACCTAGCTTTAGACGAGGTGTTAGGCTTCACGCCCCCCAAGAGTAGCCCTAACTTCCCAAGAGTAGCCGTAACTCAGCTAATTAGTTCAGCATGGTTCGGCGAAACGTAGGTTTGGTCTTTCCGCGCTCACGTTTGCCACGTACCTGCCGGATTTAGTGATGATCATCTCCGTCCCCCGTCTGTCGAACTGCCGCCATAGATCTCTGCCCTGTAGATCACAGCCGACGGTGCGCATCTCGTCGCTACCGCACGAGAGCAGCGACGCGTACGGTGGCTCGACGAAGCGCGTTGCTAAAACATTCACACACACACATACGCCGACGTCAGAACTAACTAGATACGTGAACGCTGCGCTGCTAAACATTCACACACGCGCCGACGTCAGAACTAACTACATACGTAAACGCTGCACTGCTAAACATTCACACACATACGCCGACGTCAGTAATAACTACATACGTAAACGCTGCACTGCTACACATTCACACACATACGCTGACGTCAGAACTAATTACATACGTGAACGCTGCACTACCAAACATTCACATATACGCCGACGTCAGAACTAACTAACTACATACGTAAACGCTGAACTGCAAATATTCATACACATACGCCGACGTCAGAGCTAACTACATACGTAAACGCCTTGCACTGCCTCGTGCAATAACATCAAGTGCATCATGAATCATATAGCAATATGCATAGAGAAAGAGTACATACGGCTCTATGCCGTCTTTATACGAGGGTTGTGTGTGTGTGTGTGTGTGTGTGTGTGTGTGTGTGTGTGTGTGTGTGTGTGTGTGTGTGTGTGTGTGTG